ATTAATATAGGTCACAATTTGATTGGCCAATCATGTTAGTATGTAGAACAATCTGGAAAAGAAGTCTAGAATAATTCGACTGGTGATCATTACTAAATAAGGTGCAATCATCAGTTACCAAATTTGAAAAAATCCCTGACTGTAATATTTGGCTATACTTTTCGTACTGCTGATATCTGAGCGAGATCTTTATCTATATACATATAAATAAGTTGATCTATTCTGAGATACAATAATGCCTTGAAAAAATCGATTAAAATTTCAGTTTGTGCACCATCTTGTTTACCTCCTTCAACGAATAAGTATGCTAATGCAAAGCCTACCTCATCATATTGACTAATTATTGCGTAAAGCTCATGTTCTAACTTATTTGTTTTATAGATCGCATCTACAAAAATTTACTTATTTTTTTTAAATTGTCAAAAAATGGAGTGATGAAACCTAAAAATCTAATTTTATTATCATTAAACATAACAATTTGGTAATTGTGTTCTTCTAAAAGAATTTTTGATGATTTTATTTGATCACTATCTCGAATAAATTGTTCTTGAATAAATATGGTCCACCATATATGTATTTGTTTTTGTGTAATTTCAGGATAATTACATTCTAATGTTCTATAAATTTCACTTGGCATTAGATGAAAGTTGGCTTTAATTTTATTCTTGATTTCTTCTGTAACTCGATTTCTTTCAAATCATTGGTGAAGAATTTCATGTTTAAGATAAACAGATGCATTATTTGTTATTATATTTATAGAAATTCTAAGTGTACCATTGCAATCAAAGCATTCAATTGATTCACAGTCTTTTTGGCATTTAAGATCCTAATGTTTGTGAGGTTTTTTTGATAAACTTCGACTTTAAGAACAATAATATTGAAATGTATGTAATTCATTGTTTTTTTTGACTTATAGTGATTTAAATAAATATAATAATAGGCATCGCTATCACCTATTAAATTTGCAATTTTTCTTGCTATTTCTTGGGGAGTATCTTCTTTGTCGTTAAAATCATCTAGTACAATACTTGATTTAAAATTAATTCCATCCAATTTATTTTCAAAATATTTATTAGATCTGACTACTGAAACTTTATTAAAAAGTTCATCAGCCATTTGTTCAGGAAGTAATACATCATTTTCAACATGTTCACTTGAAGGTTTGTAATATTCAAAAGACTGTTGGTGACAATATTCACAAGTATTTAAGATTTTTTTTTTTTATAAATTTATTTATAAACATAAACTTTCGGCATTTTGTGCACTCATGTAATTTATTATTTTTATTTATATCAGTTTCGCTTATATGTAATGTATTATTTTTATTTATATCAGTTTCACTTATATTTCTCTTTATTTTATATTTTGGAAAGAAAATTTTTTTTCTTTTTGTTAAGTATTTATACAACACAATTTTTTTTTTGTATTGTATTATATAAAAGGATATATTAATTTTGTACTACTATTATTATAGTATTTTATAGTATAAAGTATTTGATAGTATATAAATAAGTAATTTATAGTATATCAGTATATCGATTACAAAATTGATCATCACTTATCTGATATTACGTAATATCACGTGACTGCGCAGAAAAATTAAAGGTGTAGTTAAAAAATGTCCACAGACACATGATTTTAAACCAATCACAACACAGGATCAGGTGAAAG